TCATTAGTCTGTTAACCATAAATCCCTGTGTTAGGAAATTCAAACTTTTTTAATGTCCCTGGGGCTAGTCTGTCCTATTCATTTTGTCAGCCAACGTTGAAGAAATACTTTTTTGATGACCACTCTGGTTATTTAGCTTGTATCATAGGACATTTTTTCTTAGATTTTCCTTAGAGTCTTTCACTGGAAATGGTTACAGGCTGTGTAATCTTCGTAAGGGGATATATGGGCCATTGCATTGTCATAGTCTTGGAATGGCCTAATTGTCCTAAGTAACAGTTCATTTTGCCTTGGGGTTGCATTAAGATTGTTATGTTCACCTAGAAGAAGCACTCTGGGAACAACACAGGAGGCACAGCTCTGGGGATGTTTTCACTCAACGATGTGGCAAAGAATTAAATGCTGAGTATGGTTAGATTCCCATCTCTGCCACACCACAAGAGCTATTTAAAATACTTTGTCTTGGTGTCACTGGGGGTTAAACCCAGAACTTTGCATATGCTGAGCATGCACTCTAATACTAAGCCAGACTCTTAAGCCCCTATTATTATTTGCAGATTATCATTTAGGGCTAGGGATATAGCTTAGTAGCAGAGCACCTACTGGGCATATGGAAAGCCCTGAGTTTAATCCTCAATACTGCAAAATGGCAAAAAGATCTTAATTCTTTTGTTGTTATATAATTTACCCCTAATTGTATTAGCAATGGCTGGAGGGAACTTCTTATAGGTGGTAGTGATGAGTACCTTTGGGGAAGGTTGGGTTTGATGAAGTATTGATTCCTTCACCATGAGAGGATCCAGCAGTCATTGTTACTTTATTTTCATTTATTGATTTTTTTTTCATATACAGCTGACAAGCCTATCAGGTCATGCATACAGTCCAACATGAAATGTGACATACGGTAAGAGAGGTGAGGTTCAATTTAACACCTCCATCTCCCACCTCTAAGATGTGCTCTTTGAACCAGCCTTGAAAACACATTATCGGTGTAGGAGAGATGGCCCAGTTGTCAAAAACTGTTGCTCTTCCAGACGACTTGGGGTCAGTTCTATAATGGGCAGCTCATTGCCTCCTGTGAATCCAGGTTCAGGAGATCCAATGTCTCACAGGCACCAGCACACATATGGTAGATACTCATGCAGACACACATGTATGTACCCAAATAAACTTTTTTTTCCCCATAAAGTAGTATCAAGGACCAGAAAGATGGCTCATTGGGTAAAAGTGCCTGTTTGCAAGTGTAAAAGCCTGAGTTCAGTCTTTGGTACCCACATGTCGGGAGGGGAGAACTGGCTCCTGGGTTAATCTACCAGTTTATTTATTCAGACGACAAGGGAAATTTAGATTGTATTCAGTTTTGGGCAGTGAAAGCACTGCCACAAATATTTGCAAACTTTTTTTTTTTTTTTTTTTTTTTTGTCAGTGCCTCATGTATGTAGCACAGGCAGACCTCATATTCATTATGTAGCCCAGGCTGTTCTTGAAAGCCTGCTTTTCTTGTTTCTACTCCCCATGTGCTGACATTCTGGTAAGACAGCATCATATCTGGCTTACAAACTTTTAAAAAATGATTATTTTATTCCCACCCCTCCCCCCTTTTGGTTGGTTGTTTTTTGGTTTTGGTGTTTTGAGATGGGAATCTCTCCACATAGATCTGATTGTCTTGGAACTCACTATGAAGACCAGGCCAACTTTGAACTCACGGAAATCCACCTGCCTTCCATGTACTTGGATTAAAGGTGTGTGCCAGCCTCAAAATGGCTATTCTTAAACACAAGGTTTATCAATGTACATGAAGGGAGTTAGAAATGCTGCAATACATTTGTAACCCTAGCTTTGTTAGTGGCCGCTGCAGTCTGGGCCAGTGTTTTCCAGGCTCTTAGTTAATGGGCTGAAATAAGGGCTCACACAGATTTGCAAAGAACATACTGTTAGGACTGACAATGAGCCACAGGAATGAAGATCTTACAGGCTCCAGTTACTGTTTGGGACTTCTTTTATAGGATTCTAGAGGAGGAGGAGTTCGGTTGCTAACTAAAGGGGATAGTTTGGTTGAGTCTCTACTTCAATTGAAAGATTAAATTATACAACCATTCCTCTAGTATGCATGCCCCACCCCATAATATATTTGATTTTAATCATATCCAAGCCCAATTATGAATATGTATAAGATGGCAAATAAGGGATTTCCCTAAAAGTTCATATTGAAGATAAAGTTTACTGTATTGTGCATATAGCCTAAACCAGTTCTGGCATATGTACTGAGAACACTAAGAATACTTCTGAATAGAATCTGTCTATGTTTGATGATCAGTAAAGGGAGGAGAAACCTGATGTGTTGTTCAGAGAGGGTGTGTGTTATTTGGAGAGGAGTGTGTACTTGTATGTGTGGGTAAATGTCTCACAGTGTCAAGTACATTGTTAGCAGAAGGATGTGCCACATAGCCCAAACCAAGTTGAGTCCCAGGTTGCTAAAGCATATTTCCTATGCTTGCCTGATTTATTCAGCAGTGTAGGGGAACTCTAGGTTCTGAGAAGGGAGGTGAGGTAAGAATAACATCATTAAAAATTTAGAGCCAGTAAATTAATTAAGAAACAGTGGCTTCCTCTTGACTTTTTCCCCCTACAGTGCTTATTTCTTCCAAGGGTGGGTAACTGCTGGCCTGAGCTGCCACCTGGGTCTGGATGGTGTGTCCCACTTAGGTGTCAGGCTGCAGGGGCCACACATGGGCCTAGTCCTTGCTCCCAGAGCTTTATTTTTGTCTCAGCAGTGCTGATGTGAGAAAAGAGGAAGGACTTGCAAAGGAGGCATCAGTGTGGAGGCACCCAGGCTTTCTGCCCATCAAAGCTCTGTTGGCTGTCAGAGTGAAGTGCACCGAATCCACCAAACTGTCAGTGTATACATTCACAGAATGGATATAAAAGTATAAAAGGAGAATGGCACTGGAAGAATGGCAGTCAGCAATTCTGCACAGGAAACTTTAAATACTTTAGATGTTTAGTGTAGTCTGCCTCAAGGATGAACAAAAAAAAAAAAAAAAAAAAAAAAAAAAAGTTTGGTGCTCTGGAAAGGGTGAAGGCTGCCAATGAACTCCACTGTCCTGTCAGGAAAGGTCACAGAAGCGGTCCCAGAAAAGCCAGGGCTCATCAACAGATCGTGTTATGAAGATGACTGGCTGATTAAGACGAGTGATCCTTTAGAGTTGGGTGAATTAGCATTGAAGAATCATAGAAGAAACATGTGACGTCTACTGTGAGTGAACCTGGTACCCCCAAACCCAAATAAAGCAGTGGGAAGTAACCTGTGCCAGCATGGTTGTCTTACATTAGAGGAGGACAAAAGACCTGAAACAACTTCTAGCAATACCAATGCATAAGAAACGACTCTCAACTTCCTAATGGATGCCAATAAACATGTTTTAAGACCCTACCTAGACTAGGGGCTAAGCTCTGGTGTGAGGAATTCATGACATTATCTATGGTTAAAAGTTATCAAGCTGGGTTTGATGAGGAACCATCTTTTAATCCCAGCATTCCAACAGGCAGATCTCTGTTAAGTTTGAGGATAGCATGGTCTACATAGCAAGTTCCAGGCCAGCAAGAATTACATGGTGAGACTCTAACCACCCTCCCTCTCCCACCAAAGTAATGACCAAGTATTCCATATTTCAGGATAACAATGTTGTCTCATATAATATTGTAACTCACACATATCCTCAAATCTCCTTTGGTTTTTTGAGACAGGGTTTCTCTTTGTAGCCCTGGCTGTCCTCAAACTCACCCTGTAGACCAACTCAGAGATCTGCTTACCTCTGCCTTCCAAGTGCTGTGTTGCATGTGCCACCGTGGTTTGGCTATTCCTGGGCTTGGTCAAAAACTTAATGTTTCTACTTCTCGTTAGAAATGCCTAGGTGCCACACACAGTACAGGGAATTGTTATACAATGTCAGATGAAGGACAGTGTTGTCTTAATTTTACCTTTGGCTGTACTGGCTGCTATTGTTTTTATACAGTGAAAAGAAGCAATGACTTTGCAGATGAGTGACAAACATTCATCCTCAAAGGGCGGGGGGGGGGGGGCAACAAGCTCTGTGCTCAGCAGCTGCCTCACTGGCAAGAGGATATATTTCTTTCTATTCCCCATTTCACCAAAGTGTTCTGGGTTCTACAGACCGGCCTGCAAAATTTCCAGGCCCTTAGCCCCTGCCACGTTTATGTGATGGCCGTATCAAAACCAGACTCCCCACCCCCCTTAAAGAAATGATTTATTTTATGTGTATGACGGGTCAGGTATGGTGCCTAGAAGTCCAGAGGACGACAATGGATCATCTGAAGTGACAAGTGGAACTGAGCCACAGTTTGTGGTTGCTGTGAACAGAGAGCTTGTCCTCTGTTGAGCCATCTCTCCAGGCGGCCCACCACTGCCCTCTTCGAGATAGTGCACACTCTTAGATGAGGCTGGTTTGGAACTCACAGTGCAGCTCAGGCTGGCCTCGAAATTACAGACCTCCTTCTGCCTCATCGTCCTCAGTGCTGACATTCCACTTCCCGGTTGGCGTTCGTGCACTTCCAGTTATCCCAAGGATAGCCTATGCTGAGGCAGTTCTAGCCTGGGGCTCAAGGGCTCCACTTAGGAGGCCAGTAACTTCTACAGCCTCCGCCTGTCTGTTGCGAGAGAAGGTTCTGGGTATTAATCTCCAAGGGCTTGGTTTTGCTTCTGATAGTCGAGTGTTCGCAGGCAGATTTTGCTTCCAACCTCTATCTCCCCACCTAGAAATGCTGCCATTTCCACTGCCCAGACGCCGCCAGCCGCGATGCTGCGATCCTATCCTCTGCGCTTGCTCACAACCGAGTCTCCGGTTGGTCGCCTAGGAGCGTGGGCCTGTTTTCCCAATATGCTCTGCGCTGCTGTCATGGCTTCCCCCATGTACCTGTGTTCTCACATGGGACGCTAGCCCTGGAGGTTTTGTAAGGTTCCTGAGGCCACTAGAAGGCGGCGACTTTGGTTCCTCCTTTCGCTTCCTCCTCCCTCGTCAGACCCTGGCCCGACCCCTTTTTGGGGTACAGTGATGCCGGGCGTGATGTGGACTCCGGAGCTGGCACTTCTGAGGGGCTTCTCCACGGATGCCGAGCGACTGCTCTGGAAGCAGGAGGGGACCGGTGGCTCAGGTGGGAAAGCTGCACCTTCAGGGAATTAGGCTAACGCCAGAGCTGTAAGGACAAGGGAGTGTCGGGAGGAAGAATTTTTGTTTGATGATCTGAGTGAGATCTGTTGATCTTGAAAAGTCCGGGAAAGGCAGGGCAGACTTGACCTGTTTTTTTTTTTTGTTTGTTTGGTTTTGGTTTTTTTTTTTTTTTTTTTTTTTTTTTTTTTATTTATTATGTCTGTAGTGTTCTGCCTACATGTATGCCTGCACGCCAGAAGAGGGCATCAGGTCTCATTATAGATGGTTGCTGGGAACTGAACTCAGGACCTCTGGAAGAACAGCCAGTGCTCTTAACCTCTGAACCATCGCTCTCCAACCCCTTGAGCTGAATTTTTAAATTTAAGATTGACAAGTAAAAGAGAGGTCATCGGGGGAAAAAATAAATCGCGGTTGTAAAGTGTTGAGGCAGGTATGAACTGGATGATATGAGAGGACCGGTGTATTTGGATTGGCCTCCTGGGGGAGAATACTGAAGGTCAGACCTCAGCAAAGGAAACTTTTCCGTATCAGTTGGAATCTTTCTCAATTTCCCCAAGGGTGTTAGGCTTATTTTTTAAATTATTTCTCTGTGTGACCTCTTTGCTGCTCATAGTCATTGTAGGTATCCTTAATTCTAAGAGAGGTGATGTTGGTAGAATATGGAAGATTTGCTCAACACCTAGTGATTAATGTACAGCCAGCATTCTGTTTATGCCTTTTTGCATATTAAGATATTTATGTAACTGGGGGCTGGAAGGATGGCTCAGCCGTTAAAGGCTCACAACCAAAAATATTTATGAAATGGATTGTCATTTACACTTAATTTCTGTTGACCTTACTGGATTGGGTTTTTTTTTTTTTTTTTTTTTGTTTTGTTTTTAATTACAGATGTTGGAGTTTTCTTAGACTTGCTGTTAGAAGGGAGCTATGAAGCCATTTTCTTACATTCAGTGACACAAAATATTTTAAATTCAACAATGATGGCTGAAGAAAAGATTGACCACTACCTGGAGAAGCAGATAGTGAATTTCCTGGATTGCTCTTCGGATTTGGAAGAAATTGAAAGGTAGAATTTTATTTGAAATTTCCATAGAGAAACACACTTTTGCAAGGGGGTGGAGAGATGTGCTTACACTGCTATTTCAGGGGACCAGGTTCAATTCCCAGCTTCCACTTGGTGGCAACTACAATTTTAGGGGATAGGCACCAAGCACACATGTAGTGACATGTATACATCCAGGCAAACCACTCATATAAATAAATAAAATTTGAATACCTTTATATCACCTTGACATCATAAGGCCCTATTATTTAGCGATTGTTGTTAAACCTGGACTTGTGATGTGTCAAGTAATGTATGTAAAATGAAAGTGGTATAGGATCAAAATGAGGTGTTTTTGTTTTGTTTCTGATATTATTTTTGAGACAGGGTTTCTCTGTGCATCATCTCTAGCTGTCCTGGAACTAGCTCTGTAGACCAGGCTGGTCTAAAACCCCAGAGAGCAGTTTTCCAAGGGCTGGGATAAAGTGCAAATGTTTTAAACGAGGCAGCTCATTTTCTTTACCTTGAAGCGTGCTTTTTCTAGGTTATTGAGAGATGCTTGCCTTTCCATTTACTATGTTTTGGGTTTTTATCTCTGAAGAGATTAGAGAACCTCATGTGTTTATCATGGAGCTCTCAGTTTACTTTTCTTCAATTAGACAGCCTGCACACTAGTCAAATCTAAGCCTTCCAGAGGCTTCTCTTTTACTGTCCTGTGTTTGTTACTGTACTTGCCCTTCTCATCCATCCATGATGTCTATTTCAAAATTCTTTTTTTTCTTTTCTTTTTTTAAAAATTTATTTTATATAACAAAGTCCAATTAAATGAAAACAAACATTTATACACAATATTTGGGAATTTGGGCGTTGTTCTTTCCAAACTACTTCCTGCTGGTAAGGTGCATTGTCATGGGGGATTCGAAGAAGATTCAGAAATCCTGGCTGTAGTCTGTAAGGCTGCTTTGTCCAGCTGTTTTGAATGTAGGATCACCTGGTACTCTGTTTCAGGCGGTCTGGCGTGATCAAACCACTTTAGTCTGGAAGGAATCCACATCTTTTCATTTTCTGTGGAAACAAAAATAGAAATCCTTTTCCCCAGAAACTTGTCCTTCAACTTAAATTTTGGAGTCAAAGCATTTTTGTTTAATTTAATTTATTATTTTACATGTCGATCCCAGTTCCCCCTCCCTCTCTCCCTCCCTTGCTTTTACCCTGTCTGCCCTCTCAAATGCACTCTAACCACCCTCCCCTCCCATCCCCCCACCCCAATTCCATATGTAGGGGAATGCCATCCAGTTGGGGTCATGTAGATCTGACAGGTCATGTGAAGTAGGGACTAGGGCTTCTCTCCTATCTCTAGAATAAGGCAGTATCCCTCCATGGGGGATGTGTTAGCAAGGTCCTTTTGTGCACCAGGGATACATCCTGGCTCCACTGTCTGAGGTCTCTTAGACTGCTCAGTCCTTCTGGCTGAGACCCATATTCAGGGGGGCCTGAGTCAGTCCCATGCTGGCTTCCCAGCTATCAGTCTAGTGGCCGTTAGCTCCTCCTTGTTCAGGTAAGCTGTCTGTATGTGCTTCTGCCTCCTGGTCTTGTCCTCTCCATCTGCATCTGGGTTCTAGTTCGACTCAGTGTTTATGTATGGGTGTTTGATTCTGTTTTCAACAGGCATTAGTTGAGGCTCCATGGAGAAGTTAGTTGTTGATCTCACTCTCCGGGAAGAGCATTTATGATAGCCTTTCCACAGAAGCTCAAATTGTTAGTTGGGAGCAGTCTTGTAGTTCTCTAGACCTTTCTTTGTGTTGAATTTTATCTTCAAACCAATATTGGCTCCCTCTTTTATGTTCTCTTTCTCTGTCTCTCTCTCTCTCTTTCCTATCTTCTATTCCTAACCAGGCTCAATCTTCCTGGTCGCACATGTTTTCCTTTCCTCCCCCTCGTTTTCTCCTACTTCTCTCTCCATTCGCTGCCCCCCCCACTTCACCTGAGCTCTGGGGGACTTGTCCCTTCCCAGTTCTGTGAGGGACTTTATATGAATCTCTTAGAATACACCTTGTATCCTAGTTCCTCTGGTGATGTGAATTATAGTCTGGTGATCCTTTGATCTAGGTCTAAAATCCATATATGAGTGAGTACATACTGTGTTCCTTTTTGTGACTGGGTTAACTCATTCAGGATGGTTTCTTCAAGTGCCATCCACTTGCCTGTGAATTTCAAGATACCATTATTTTTTTCTGCAGAGTAGTATTCCATTGTGTAGATGTGCCACATCTTTATTAACCATTCTTCAATTGAGGGGCATCTAGGTTGCTTCCAGGTTCTTGCTATTACAAATAGTGCTGCTATGAACATAGTTGAACAGATGTCTTTGTTGCATGGATGTGAATCCTTTGGGTATATGCCTAAGAGGGGGATTGCCGGGTCCTGTGGTAAACTAATTGCCATTTTCCTGAGGAAATGCCATACTGATCTCCAAAATGGCTGTATGAGTTTGCACTCCCACCAGCAGTGGAGGAATGTTCCACTTTCTCCACATTCTCTCTAACATAAGTCATCACTGGTGTTTCTAATTTTAGCCATTCTGGCAGGGGTAAGATGGTATCTCAAAGTTGTTTTGATTTGTATTTCCCTGATAGCTAAGGATGTGGAACATTTTCTTAAGTGTCTTTCAGCCTTTTTGATTTCCTCTATTGAGAATTCTTTCTTCAGTTCTGTACCCCATTTTTTAATAGGGTTATTTGGTGTTTTGTTGACTCGTTTCTTGAGTTCTTTGTATATTTTGGAGATCAGCCCTTTGTCGGATATAGGATTGGTGAAAATCTTTTCCCAGTCTGTGGGCTGCCGTTTGGTCTTGTCCACTGTGTCCTTTGCCTTACAGAAGCTTCTAAGTTTGAAGAGATCCCACTTATTAATTGTTTCTCTCAGTGTCTGTGCCCCTGGAGTTATGTTCAAGAAGCGGTCTCCTATACCAATTTGTTCAAGGGTACCTCCTACTTTCTCTTCTAAGAGGTTCAATGTGGCTGGATTGATGTTGAGGTCTTTCATCCATTTGGACTTGAGTTTTGTGCATGGCAACAGACATGGATCTATCTGGAGTCTTCTACACACCCTCATCCAATTGTGCCAGCACCATTTGTTGAAGATGCTGTCCTCGCCCCATTGTATAATTTTAGCTGTTTTGTCGAAAATCAGGTGTTCATAGGTGTGTGGGTTAATATCAGGATTTTCAATTCGATTCCATTGGTCTACCTGTCTATTTTTTATGCCAATACCAGGCTGTTTTCAGAACTATAGCTCTGTAGTAGAGCTTAAAGTCAGGAATGGTGATGCCTCCTGAAGTTCTTTTCTTGTATAGGGTTGTTTTTGGCTATCCTGGGTCTTTTGTTTTTCCATATAAAGTTGATTATTATCCTTTCAAGGTTGGTGAAGAATTGTGGTGGGATTTTAATGGGGATTGCATTGAATCTGTAGATTGCTTTTGGCAAGATTGCCATTTTTACTGTGTTTATCCTACCTATCCAAGAGCATGGGAGATCTTTCCATTTTCTGGTATCTTCTTTAATTTCTTTCTTTAGAGTCACAAAGTTCTTATTATATAGGTCTTGTTTGGTAAGCGTTACACCAAGATATTTTATGTTGCTTGTGGCTATTGTAAAGGGTGATGTTTCTCTGATTTCTTTCTCTGTCTCTTTGTCGTCTGAAAAAAATAGGGCTACTGATTTTTTTGAATTTATCTTGTATCCTGCTAGTTTGCTGAAGGTGTTTATCAGCTGTAGGAGTTCCCTGGTAGAGTTTACTGGGTCGCTTATGTAAACTATCATATCATCTGCAAATAGAGACAGTTTGACTTTTTCCTTTCCAATTTGGATCCCCTTGATCTCCTTTTGTTGTCTTATAGTATTAGCTAGAACTTCTAGTACGATATTGAAGAGATATGGAGAGAGAGGGCAGCCTTGTCTTGTTCCTGATTTTAGAGGAATTAAGGATTTTAGAGGAATTAAGTTTCTCTCCATTCAGTTTGATGTTGGCAGTTGGTTTGCTGTATATTGCTCTTATTATGTTTAGGTATGTTCCTGTTATCTCTGACCTCTCCAAGACCTTTATCATGAAAGGGTGTTGAATTTTGTCGAAGGCTTTTTCCGCATCTAGGGAGATAATCATATGGTTTTTCTTTTTCTGTTTGTTTATATGGTGGATCACGTTGATAGATTTTCGTATGTTAAACCATCCCTGCATTCCAGGTATGAAGCCTACTTGGTTATGGTGGATGATTTCTCTGATGTATTCTTGAATTTGGTTTGCCAGTATTATATTGAGTATTTTTGCATTGATGTTCATCAGGGGTATTGGCCTGTAGTTTTCTTTCTTAGTTGTGTCTTTGTGAGGTTTGGGTACCAAAGTTATTGTGGCCTCATAAAAAGAGTTTGGCAATGTACCTTCTTTTTCTATCTTGTGGAACAGTTTGAGGAGTAGTGGTATTAGTTCTTCCTTGAATGTCTGGTAGAATTCTGCGCTGAATCCATCTGGCCCTGGACTTTTTTTGGTTGGAAGGCTTTCGATGACTGCTTCTATTTCATTGCAGGTTATAGGTCTATTTAAGTTGTTTGTCTGTTCTTGATTTAATTTTGGTAAGTGATAGTTATCCAGAAACTTGTCCATTTTCTTTGAATTTTCAATTTTTGTGGAATACAGATTTTCAAAGTATGACCTGAAAATTGTCTGGATTTCCTCTGTGTCTGTTGTTATGTTCCCCATTTTGTTTCTGATTTTGTTAATTTGCATGTTCTGTCTCTGCTTTTTCATTAATTTGGATAAAGGTTTGTCTATCTTGTTGATTTTCTCAAAAAACCAACTCTTCGTTGCATTGATTTTTTTTTTTTTTTTTTGTATTGTTTTCCTGGTTTCTATTTTGTTGATTTAAGCCCTCAAGTTGATTATTTCCTGGTGTCTACTCCTGCGGGGTGAATTCGCTTCTCTCTGTTCTAAGGCTTTCAGTTGCGCTGTTAATTCTCTTATGTGACTAT